TAAAGGCGTGTATGGTAGGTGCCTTCGAACAAGGACATCGCGGCCGTGTACTTTCCTCCCACCACTCGCAATAAATGCGTGTATGGGGTCTTCGAGTGCACCTGCATAAAAATAAGAATAAAAAAAAACATTTTGCTTTCCCCTCGCTCGAGGGTACTTATAAATGACCCCACTTCGTCGTAGGCGCCGCACCGGGGTCTCATCCCACCACGCGCAATAAAGGTGTGTATAGGCGATTTTCCGGTGCGCTTCGAACGCCGAAGTAGAGTTTAGGTGATTGCCCGCCTTAAATAAAAGGTTTCAAATAATTACTCACCTGCTCAAATTCGGCTGCCCATCCCATATTTCAATTAAATCCTGCACAAATCATATCCTGTCAACTATCGGCTGCCCAAGTCATATCAGCCAGTGGAGAAATAAAAAAATAAAGAGCTGAATAACCTATAATATACTCACCCCCCTCCATTTGAACAGTTCTCTCCACTACAATCCGAACTCTCAACTCCCCCAACTGTGCAGGAACTTGATCCATGCTCTTTCTTCCTCCCTCCCTCACGTGAAGCTGCAGCAGCAGCCCCACTCCTCAACATCAGCAGGCTGATTCCCCCCACTTGGCCGTGAGACTCCTCTGCTTTACACAAGGAAAACAGCTCCCTTCCTCTCCTTCACAGCCACCAAGCAAAACAACTCATCCCCCCTCCAATCCACCACTACACTTCACACCTTTCCTCCCTACAGCCTCTTCTTGTTCCTTCCTCTCACCCTACTACAGAAACCCCTTTTTGTTCTCAACTACAGCAGTTCCCATCTCAAGTGAAAGCTGCTCCTTGATCACTCTCCACGTGAAGGAGCCTACAACAGCCTATTCCCTGTCATTACACTCAGCTAGATTCTAACAACAATCTCCTTCTCTCTTACCCCTGAAAGCTGTTTTGGCCAATCAGCTCACAACAACTGCAGCCTCACCATTGCCTCCTTACTTTAAGGTAAAAAAAAATGAAAGAAGGGAATCCCTGACACCCATTTGAGAAGGTCTTTTGACAGCAAGCAAGATCAGTCTTCAAAAACAACACAACAACAACAACATCAAGCCTTTATAACACTTTGGGGTCGGCTACATGAATCCTTTTTCTCCATTGTGTCCTATTAAAAGACAAATTCTCGTTTAAATCTAATAAAGAAATGTCATTCCTAATATTTTCTAACTAAGTCTTTTTAGGTCTACCCCTACCTTTCTTAACATAAGTCAAATATAATACCTCTACTCTCCTAACCGGGTCATAGCAAGGCCGCCGTTTTATGTGACCAAACCATCTAAGGCGACTTTCTCTAATCTTATCTTCTACTGGAGCTACTCCAACCTTTTCACGTATATGCTCATTTCGTATCCTATCTCTAAGGGTAAAGCCACTCATCCACCAGAGCATCATCATCTCTACCACACTTAACTTAGTATTATGCTTCTCTTTTAAAGGCCAACATTCGGCACCATAAAGCATTGCAGGCCTCACTACCATCTTATAGAATTTTCTCTTTACTTTGAGGGGTACATTTCTATCACATAACAAGCCCGATGCATTCCTCCACTTCAACCATCCAACTTGAATTCTGCTGATAATATCCCCATCTATTTCACCATCACTCTGAACAATAGATCCAAGATATCTAAAATGTGTACTCTTATTAATGACTTGATCGCCCAAAGTCACAATCCCCTCACTAGGTCTATTACTACTAAAATTACACTCCATATATTCTGTTTTAGATCTACTCAAGCGAAAACCTTTTAGACTCTAAGGTTGACCTCCATAATTCAAGTTTACCTTCAACTCCCTCTCTAGTCTTATCAACAAGAAGAATATTATCAGCAAAAAGCATACACCAAAGTACATCCTCTTGCAAATGTCTAGTAAGAACATTCATGACTAAAGCAAAAAGATGTGGGCTTAAGGCTGATCATTGATGTAATCTAACTTAAATAGAAAAATAATTGGTCAAACCACCTTGTATTTAAACACAAGCAACAGCTCATGCATACATATCCTTAATGACTTGAATATAAGCATTATTAACCCCTTTCTTATATAGAACTCTCCATAGCACTTCTCTTGGAGCTTTATCATATACTTTCTCAAAATCAATAAAAAATCATATGTAGTTCCTCATTATTCTCTCTATACTTCTCCATCAAACCTTTCAATAAATGTAATGATATTTTCCTACTTTTTTAATAAGACGCTGATGAAACTGTTGAAGAAAATTCTCACTAATAACAAAAAAGAGTGGCATACGAAGAGGCAGATGCACTATGGGTTTATCGTACAACTTATAAGATGCCAACCAAAGCCACTCCTTATTCACTGGTGTTTGGAGTCGAATCAATATTGCCACTGGAAGTTGAACTACCATCATTCCGGGTAGCAATCTAGAACGATCTCACTCAAGAGCAAAATGTTCGCCTGAGAATGGAACAGCTCGATGCACTTGATGAACTCAGGTTACAAACTCAACAAAACCTTGAAATCTACCAAGGAAGAATGGTTAAATCCTTCGATCGTATGGTGCATCCTCGGGCATTCAAGAAGTAGAATTGATCATGGTGCTGAGAAGGCCAATCATCCCACACCGAAAAATTGATGGCAAATTCGTATCCAACTGGGAGAGGCCTTTTGTCGTTGAAAAGGTATTTCAAGGAGGAGCTTATCAGTTGATCGATTTGAAATGTCAGAGACATATGCCGCCAATCAACGGTCGATATCTGAATAAATACTACATATGAAATTGCCCAAGAAAATGTTATATTCAATGTGTTATGTATTTTATACATGTTTGTTATCGCATACGCATTTTATATTTTGAAATTTTATTGTATAACAAGAATGCATTTCAAAATCCTCCATCAGACTGTGGGTATTTTAAATATTTATTCGGCTCAACATCGTGCTATGTGCCGAGATCCCCAAATAAATATTTAAAATCTCAAGATTTCAAATTTATTCTGCTCTAGAATGCCCCTGTGAAATAGGGGCATTTTAAATATTTATTTGGGACGACATTGCGCAGCATGCCAAGATCCCCGAATAAATATTTAAAATTATCAAAAAAAAAATATTTTCTTATGTTGAAGAATACAACAAATTATTTTTAAAGTATATGCAGATGATCTTCTAAAAATTTGAGGCGCCACCTTCTCCAACACACCAAGATTTCAAAAGTCAAGAAAGAGATTTTATGACTCACACTCCAACAAATTAAGCTGAAACAGCTTGAAGTCTTTCAACAGCTAAAGCTTAAGGTTCGAATGGTTGTAAAAGGTTGGATCCAACACGCCCAAACATGACCGAATCACTGGCAGCTCTGTCTACTCAACACGCCATAATGAAAGACTGTAGTAGCGGAACCCCCACTTCGTCAACCCGTCAGTAGGGACTGTAGGAAGTACCAAGGCTAATTTGACCCGATAAGTTCAAGTGATCGTAGTCTACTAAATTCTCCTAATTGATTGGAGAATTAAAGTTCCAGTGGAAATGAGAGATCTCGAGCAACCATCGAATGTTCTTAGGCTCCAAATCTTCAACCAAAAAGAAGAACTCCAAATCTACCAACTTCAGTAGATTCAATATTGGGAAGCACAATTCTCATAGCTCAAGTCTGAAGTCTGAATGGGAGTAAGAGGTCGGATACAACACGCCCAAAATATGACCGGATAGCTGGCAGTTCTATCTACTCAACATGCCATAAGAAATGTCGTAGTAGAAGAACCCCCATTTCAGCAACCAGAGGACAAAGAGCTATCAAATCTTAGCTCTCATAATCTGATGAACTCAAATGACTCAAATTAAAGTCTCTTTAAGTGATTAAGGATTAAGGTACTACCCATATTTGGTACTATCAACCAAATACAAAACCTGCAAATCCTTCAACAAATCTATAAAGCATCAAGCGAGGATCTAAGGAAATTTTATTCAATAAGTTCGTTATGTAGAAAGCTCTAAACCGATGACTTTTCGCCACCGACCTAATACGAACCTAAAATGTTTAGGTCACCAGCATCCACTCCTTCATCAAGCCCGCCAAAGCAAGTATAGGGAAGAAAGTACAAAAACCATCGGTAAAGAAAAATCAAGCAATTCTCCATCAATGTCCACAGCACAAAGCACATGATAGAAGGAACAAAAATCTCAGGACTCAAGCTAAATCTATAAAAAGAAGCATCCTGAATAACATTTATAAATGTTCCTAAAGAATGTGGACATTTTAAATATTTATTTGGGTCGATATCACGCTACATGTCGAGATCCCCAAATAAATATTTAAATTTTCATGTCAAAATATAGCTATATGAGAGAAAAATGAAAGATCCTCCGTAAACAGAGTGTGCTGTCAACAAAAAGTGATTGTATAGAAAAAATATCACATACATACATAATTATGACAAAAAAGAAGGTTGAGCATATACAAAAATGTCATAGACTAAAGTGACAATGGTGCAAAAGAAGAGCTTAAGGTGACAATGCTATCCACTAACATCAATCTACAGAGTGATACTCTAAGAACCTAAGTATAAAGTACTCTATCACTCTCACGTGGATCTCCACTTGACCAAGAGCAAATATATCAACTATACTGAAGATTACAAATACATCTAAGGAGCCATGAAGGCACAGAGATGGACTTTTGGAGATCCACTAAATAAAAACCTTAATGTGACATCTAAGCAAACTTTTGGAGATCCACTAAATAAAAATGTTAGTGTAACCACCAAATAAACTTTTCGAAATCCACTAAATAAAAACCTTAGTGTGACATCCAGAGCAAATATCTGGAGATCAAAAAGGGTCAATCAGCATACAACAAATGTGGTTTGCTCTAGACGCACACCACATTTGTTGGGGGGGGGGGGGGGGGGGGGGGGGGGGGGGGGGGGGGCGGCATTTGTTGACCTCTAAAACAAGAGACAAAAAATAAAAAATAAAAAAAGGCTTCAAATGATTACTCACCTGCTCAAAACCGGCTGCCCATCCCATATCTCTGTTAAATCCTGCACAAATCATATCCTGTCAACTATCAGTTGCCCAAGTCATATCAGCCAGTGGAGAAATAAAAAAATAAAGAGCTGAATAACCTATTATATACTCAGCCCCCTCCATTTGAACAATTGTTCTCCACTACAATCTGTAACTCTCAACTCCCCCAACTGTGCAGGAACTTGATTCATGCTCTTTCTTCCTCCCTCCCTCACGTGAAGCTGCAACAGCAGCCCAACTTCTCAACATCAGCAGGCTGATTCCCCCCACTTGGCCGTGAAACTCCTCTGCTTTACACAAGGAAACCAGCTCCCTTCCTCTCCTTACAGCCACCAAGCAAAATAACTCATCCCCTCCAATCCATCACTACACTTCACACCTTTCCTCCCTACAGCCTCTTCTTGTTCCTTCCTCTCACCCTACTACAGAAACCCCTTTTTGTTCTCAACTACAGCAGTTCCCATCTCAAGTGAAAGCTGCTCCTTGATCACTCTCCACGTGAAGGAGCCTACAACAGCCTATTCCCTGTCATTACACTCAGCTAAATTCTAACAACAATCTCCTTCTCTCTTACCTCTGAAACCTATTTTGGACAATCAGCTCACAACAACTGCAGCCTCCCCATTGCTTCCTTACTTTAAGGTAAAAAAAAAGGAAAGAATGGAATCCCTGACACCCATTTAAGAAAGTCTTTTGACAGCAAGCATGATCAGTCTTCAAACAAAAACAAAAAATCATTTTTTTTTTTTAATGCTTTCTAGAGATGAGTCAAGACTTGTTTAACAGAGCAGATAAAGCCTTCAATGTCATTTTGGCAAGCTAACAGTGAGCTTTTAAAGTCTATTTAATCTGAGGTGTAAACCAAAGCCAAGTAAAATAAATGCAGCAATGTGTCAAAACCACTTCAGCCCACTATTTTAAATCAAACGTATGCCCAAACAGCAACTCATTTCGCCTTCGAATTTCAGCCCAAAACTGCTTCAAGAGCCAGCCTAGCAAATTAGACAGCTTTTGCTCCGATTCCCTTCCACATGAAATCACTTTTCACTGATTCATCCACACTCAAATGCTTTCTTTTATTATTCACCTGTAGCTTTTACACCAAGTCCGTGCCTTCACTTGCAATCTAGCCCACAAAAGCCTGTTTGATTCACATCACCAATTCATTCTCTTCCCCACAGCCACTTAGCATATTCCACTAAATATATAAACAATCCCAACCACTTCCTACAGCATACCAAATCCCATCATATTCTCTTTTCCATTGCTAACAGCAAGCCCAATTCCACCTCACTTTGTAAGCCCAAAACATTCAATCCGTATAGTTTCTTCAGAGAATCATGATAGTATTTATTTTCATTGTTTAGTGTTGTTATCACTCATTATTAACTATGGCTATTGTCACTAGTTAAATGTGATAACTGTTATGGCTATTCCTTTTGCTTAGCGCTATCAGAAGCTTGTATCATTATAGATGCATACATATGTACAAAAGAAGTGGGGTTTTCAAAAAAAAAAAAAAAGAAGCAAAAAAAAAGAAAGATATGATTTTGTGCCTTCTATCGCCGTCACCCCACCGTCGACACGCAAAGGTATAACTCCTAACTTAAAAAAAAAATCCTTCTCTCGTGGCTTGCGACGAGCCAGCAAACCCCCTACGCACTCACGTGGCAATAGTTGGGAGGGAAACCGGCACAACGAGGTGGGTAATCCCCGGAGTGCTCATGTAGCATGAGGGGGACGAAAACTAAGTACCTCCAAATGCTCACGTAGGCAGATGGGGGAAAGAAACTGTGCTCTTTTAAATAAGTACCAAAAAGAAAAATCCTTAAAAGCTCATATAGCCGGTGGGGATAAAAAAAAATGCAACCACGGTGTCATTTAACACCTACCTAAAGCGCTCAAGTAGCGACGAGGGAAAGGTTGTGTAACATCAGTTTTTGCTCCAGGTTCGTCCGGACGAAATTGGATCGTCCGGGACGATCGGTATAGGTTGTTCAAGGAAAACAGTTCTGGCTGCATGGATCGTCTGGACGAAATTTGGATCTTCTGGACGAAAATTTTCAAGAGGACCGGTCGCCGGGGACGATAATTAAATCTCGTTTGGACGACACTTGTCCAGAGCCAGATCGTCCCGAGACGAAGTGCGATCGTCCTGGACGATCAGTCTGGATATATATAGAAATGAGATATTTTGAAGAGAGAGAAAAAGCCAGGAGAGAGAAAAACGAAGGAAAAAGTGGAAAAATTGATTTTCGGGCGACGCGGAGTTGTTTTCGTCCGAAGAGACTGTTCAGGAAATTGATGTACGCAAGGTAAGGCACATTCCGCCTTTCTCAATTTTCAGAACCGTCGTGTTTGGCGGTATTTTCTGTCCGGAATTGATTTTTATTCGTGATTTTCGTCCGTATTTTCTGATTGGTTCAGTTTTTACCGCGTAACTTTCTGTATGTTGTTGACGTGCCGAGTGTGCACATTTTGATTATTTTCTGGAGATTTTTATCCGGGTAGTTTTGATTCGACGGTGTTTTTCGTCATAAAAAAAATTCAACATCATAACTTTTGCAGCAAACCACGAGTAGTGGTCGGACTGGCGAGCGGGTGTGTGGCAGCAGGGGAGTCTCAGGTTTCAATCCTGGCCGTCGGCACAGCGGAGGCATGCAGGGGAGCGAGCGGTCGCCGGTCGCATCCATGGCGGGTGAGGGGGTGGGGCCTTCATGCTGGGGAACGGCCTGGCTAGGGCTCTAAGACGTGGACTGGATGTAGCCGGGCTTCCTGGGCGGGAGATGGTTGCCGCTGGCTGTGGTTTGCGAGTCATCCTGGTGCGGAGCAGGCTGGGTCATCCGTG